TCTGTTGCTTCTTATAATTCCACTTCAAACAACCAGAACTCGTAAGGAAAAGACGTGCAAACCTGACCTTCTGAGCCGACCCCCTGTGAGAAGGGGCCCCGTGTTTTTAAAGGTCAGAGATGCTGAGGGGCCCTCAAAGGAGACCACCAGCGCTCCACCGCGCCCGGGGGCCAGGGGGCTGTTTGAACAACGCGGCTGTGAAATCAGAAAGCAATCTCCGTGGAGCTCTGGAAACAGGCCTAGCCGCCCTGGGGGTGGAGGGGGGGGGGTCGTGATGGAGTATATAAGAGCTAAATATTGACAGGTTTGTCTGGGGAGTGTTTACAGCTGCCTCGAGTTGCCCTAAGGGCACTAAGCGGCACGTGGGGTAAGCAGCAACACCTGGAGGGGTCTGTAAATGCAGAACTTTAACAGGTGACAAGATTAGACATACATGTGAGGACGCAGGGGAAGGGATATCATGAAATGCAGGAGCATGCTGATATGTTCCGCAAGTCATATCCGACATACGCCATTCAAAGGCGGGTATATTGTCAATGGTGTTGCATTGCAAAGTGAAGCCGGCCAGGCAGATTGAGCACCTGGAATTGCGATCCCATTTCAGAAAAGTCTCTCCTGGCAACAGAGGTCCCCGTGATTTTTTTATTTTTTTTAACGGCATCTCCTGGAACAACAAAGGAATCAATAGCAGCGGCTGTTCAGTTACGGCGTGCGACGGGTGGCTGATAAGCACCAGGGCTGTCCTGAGTGCGATTGTGCGGCTTGACAATGGCAGTTAATGACGTCCAGGAGATGGGGGGGGTTGTTAGGACAGGGGAGATGCACGGCTTTGAAAGGAGACCTACTTCAGCCATGGTCCCAACCAATGGCAAGAGACCTCGATGTTTTCCAATCCTGATGGCTGCAATTAAACCGCCGGCTCCACTGAAAGCGGATGTCGCACTGCTGAGCCAAAAAACCTTTCAAACAGGTTTTTTTTATGGAGTCAATAGAACGAGCTTTGAATGTCAATGAATCACACAGTTAGTAGTAGAAATAGGCAAAGCACACTAGTAAATGTAAGCATTACGCTACTCCCAACAAGGGTTGGCGGCAAATTTAAGGAAACAATGAGTTACTGTACTACTATTTTCCCTCACAAAAGTTACATCAGATAATGTCATGTTCTCTTTCAAGCTTATGGAGCAGAAGGCATGCATGAAAAAAATGGTTTTATTCACAGCCAAGTCAAAAATTCCTGAGGGTAAATTTAATTCAATAAATTTATAGATTTTCAATAAGCCCTTCTGATCTCTTTCAGGCGTGTGACTTTTATGTGCACAAATAAGTGTCAGCGACGGAAAAGGAATGTAAATGTCAGAAGGGGACAGCAGAGTCTTTGGTGAGCCCGATAAAAGTCATTTTGTTGTTACTGTGCAATGTGATGGCATAGCACAGCCTGCGAGCAAGCAGTATCTGTTTTTTTGGCAACACACACACACACACATCAGTTGCAACTCCTACACCATTAAAATTTCATAGCTACAAAGCAGCTCTACTCAATTCCTGGTGTAACGCTCGCACGCACGATTTAACGAAGAGACATGCACACATACACAATAGACTCATATTCTTCAAATACAATTAATAATGTCTCCCTTACTTCTGAACTTTTGGGTTTGTGTCACTATAAGGTCTCCCATGAAAATCAGTCACACAGGTAGCAGGAAAGGAAACAAAGTTGCCGGTTCATATCTTAAAATCTGCTCCTGTGAATGATGATATATACCCGCAGTTATGTATTTAAAAAAGGAAGCATCTTTGGATGAACATGTCATCTATGCCACATTCATTTGACAATATGTCATGTATAACATACTGGTGGAGTTTGGACTCTAGGGGCGCTCACCCTTATCCTCCTACAGTAGCGGCAACTAGGTCTCCAAAAAAATCCCCATGCAGATAAATATTAAATCCGATAAAGATTTTTTCTTATCACCTGTATTCACGGAAATGTTAAAGTGCTGCATTAGTCAGATCAAATAATGTTTCAGCATCCAGAGGAAACGGGATAAGGAATATTTTCACCGAGAATACATCATCACCTGCAGCCGTGCTGCTGCACAGCTGAGCGTGGCCAAGGTCGTAGGTGGTCATTTCTGTCTTCGTGACGTCACGTTTTCCTCCTGACGAAAAAAAAAAAAAAAGCACGACAAGTTTTGCTGATCCAGCATAGCTGTGCAGCAACGGCAGAAACCAAAACGTGACCTATGTAGGTCCCTTAGAAACAGCTAAAGACAGTACAATTTACAGGCCCACCAGGCAAAACTGAGCTAAACCTAGTAATGTTATTTTGGTGTATGGTGTACAACACTGAACGTTATGGATTGAAAATGGATAAATGGTCACAGGGCAATTACTTGGTATCAAGCTGAAATTCAGCTGACGTTCTGTTAAATATGCCTATTTAAAAACGTTAAAAGACATAAGAGAGAATAACGTCAATTAAAGTGTCTGCTAACAGTTAAAATGTAATTAGTCTGTATAGTTCTAACTTAATATGCAGGTGTTTTTTTTTTACATTTATTCGTTTATCTCATAATCATTCTTTAAGATTGATATCTTTTTGGATACATATATTTGAAATGAGTTCATATTTAAAAAACCCTTATATGAAATTGAGAAATCCCAGTGCCTAGCGGCTGTCGTGCGTTCGCCTTTAGAAATAACTTTTTTCACATTTTATTGTGGCGAGATGTAATTATCGGATACGTTAACCAAGTAGGCCTACATTTTTAATGCAGTTGATCATTTTTGTTTTTTATTTACTTCCCTTCTAAATTAATGAACATTAAATAATCACATACTGTATGTTTTTGAATTCCATATTCATTATCGATGGCGGTAATGGGTCTAATAATAGAAACAGATTGCTTTGCTGATTGAGTCGGCCTCAAGCCGCTAGCCCCGGGGCCGTGCTGCTGTGCCCGAGTTTGCGCTGTCCGCAAATAAAATGGGGAGAAGGCAATTACAATGTTAATCGGTCACAGCGGGGGAGGCATGCGGTGGGGGCGGTGAAAGGTGATAAAGTGAGTCGAGTCACTTCAGGTTAACAGCGAGCGGCGTCTGGGGAGAAGCCCAGGAACCCGGCAACAGCAACATGCCACTTATCGGCAGGGAAAAGAAAAGTCCCGATACGATCTTTCTTTTTCTCTCTCTCTCTCTCTCTCTCTCTCTCTCTCTCTCACACACACACACACACACACACACAATCCGAATGCGTTCAGAACAAAATAAACAGTCCATCGCCATGACTGTAGCATCGACCGTGACGTGCCTTGAAAGCTTTCATGCCTGTATAATCTTTTGTCTGATATTTGGTGAGCCTTTACACGCAGCTGCCCACACAGTGAATTTATGCTCGCCTATGCTTTCTGACAGGACGGATGGCGCAAACGTGTGTGCTTAAATGGCTGCACTGACTGGTTGGCAAAGCGGTAGTGCAACGTTTATTAACCGGCCAACCACAAACCACTTCATACACCCCTCCTGGGGCCTCATAATAAGCCATTAAACAGGCGCATTAGGATAAATGAAAAGGCTTTTAAGCATTTACCACAAGGCCACCTGGATATCTCTCTAGGGGGAGGAAATGTTTGGATGACATGGAAAGGTCCATTTAAATTTTTGTGGTGGGCTTATTCCGTCTTTGGTCATCTAAAAAATGTACATATATATGAGCTTTGAACGGTGCTCCTAGTATTATAGTTTATTTTGCATCCGCAAGGATGCCTTCAAAACTCGCGTGTCTGGTGTTTTGTGTTATTAGATTTTGGTGTGTAAAAATGTATAAAATGCAGTGTGTGTAGAGTAATAAACAAAAATGCTACGTGCATGCAAAGTATCACACGCAGAATGATTTCGGTGAATCTGACAATCACCGCAATTCGCCGCGCGCGCGGCTAATCAGCACAATAATGTCCCGGTGATTGTGATGCTAATGCTAATGCATGCGGAGAGGGGCCGCAGCAAAGGCTTGGCTAATTTCCCTCCCCCGCAGCCCCCTTGAGACGCCGCATGTCTTTTCAGTTTCGCCTATTAATTGAAGTGTGTTATGTGTTATTTTCCGCCTCGCTGGGTTGTCAAAGCCCCCCAGCCAACGAATCCAGGCATGGGTTAAAGGAGAGGGTAAGAAACAGAGAAACAAAACGCGGGGAGAAGTGGAATCCCCTCTATTTTAGTGAATCGATCTACACAGAAACGAAACTTTTGTTTGTTCATTCGTGGATGCTTACATATACAATTAAAAAACAAAAACAAATTGAAACAACTGAACTCGTTTTCAAGGATACGAATTGACAGCCTACGATACAGATCTGTAAGATTCCGACAAGGCAATAGCTGACCAATCTGATGTGTTATTGTAGTATTTTCACTCACACGGGATAGTAGATACAATACAGATTGGTTAGTTGCTGTCACTTATTTCTTTAGCGTTACTGCAGTGGGTACATTTTAATCTGGTTATTTTCTGATATTCAACGCAACAGTCATTGCGTCAAACGGCAGTTTATGGGATCTCAGTGACGTCGACATTAATGCTGCAGCCGGAATCCATGCCGTAGCAAACACAGCTGTCGGAACACCTTTCAGAATGTATAGGAAAATCCTTTCTTAGAAGAAACGATGCTTCTGAAGACCACAACACAAACACAAATTTGCATATTGCTTAATCTTCCAATAATCATGCATTTGTATGTTAGGTTTGTGGTAAATTTTATACTTTTATGATATAGGCTATGTGTGTGTGTGTGTGTGTTTGTGTGTGTGTGTGTGTGTGTGTGTGTGTGTGTGTAAATATATACATATATATATATATACACACACACACATCTCTACAGCTTAGTAAGTGACGCGCTATGTGTGAAGCTAATTAATTATCATTCTCTAGTTCGGAGAGACACCGAGCCTGCCAGCCGTGCTCAGATTCACCCAAGTGTGTAATGGGAAAGGGGGCAGAGCAGGCTGTGAGCAAAAGAGGGCAGAGGGAACGGAGAATGAAGGGTTGGCGAGAAAGGGATCAGATTGGCTATGGTTATGATTGGCATTAAAACACAAAACATGGCTTGCAGACCGTAATCAGAATACCCCGGGCTTTGTCGCAGCACCTTAGATGCATGTCTCTTGTGATAACGTGCCTCGCGAGGAAAAAGGACACCGAGAAGGACAAGCGGACAACGGCTTGATTGACCGAAGTCAGTAATCTGTAGTCAGTCTCTATAGGTTGGTGACAACAATGCGCAGGGAATCCTCCCAGGACCAGACAGCTGACCCCGCACTGCCCTCGCTGATAGGTAATAAACTCTGTGCAATGAGCGAAGAAAATCATCAGTTCCACCCCGGCGAACTGCATCAGCTCTTCGCACCTTTACTCTAAAATACGATCTCTTGCTTTCACACGAATCTACGGTCAATAATATGTCAGAAGCGAAGATGATCCAACAGCTGTGTACTAGATAAAATTAGTTTTCTTCAAGTTAAACTAACATGCGCACGGTAATGTGTTAGTATTTAAACGGACGTACATATTTACAGCTGAAAGACCACGACGTAAAATGTAACTGCTGAATGTACAAAGGCAATTTAAAAAATATCAGTTTGGGGTATCTTTGGGTAGGGGAAATGTACAAATACCATACGGAGACCGCGTTTGAACCACCCGACATTTTCTGGTCATATAATTAAAAACTGAAGTAACTGGCTTCAAAATATTACCCTTTCAGAGACTGTCAATATAACTAAAGCATATGCTTAATTTCCTATTCGGTAAATAATAACAAAAGAAGACGAATAAACGCATTTCTCTCCATAAGAATAAAAAACAGGACAGGACCTGCATGAAAAAATGTAGTTTTAATATGGATAGGGTAAATACACATTTTCTAACAATGCTGTGTTATTAAATATTTCATTTCTGTGGATAGTTCATAAAAATGAAAGAACAACCGCAACGGCTTGGAGTTGATGCACGCGCATCCATCTGCGGCTCTCTAGCGGAGTGGCACTGGCACGGAAAGACAAAGAATTAAAGCACTCAAAAGATAGAAGCCTGCCGAGCTGTTAATCTCAATTCGACTTTTTATCCCTAATAATCACGCAAACGAGCCCGTCGCAGCATTCCCAATGACGTTATAGAGAGAGTCAGCTAAAACCATGATTACCTAGGTGTAGGATCGGTGGGAGAAACCAGAGATGTCTGACAGCGTCCGAAAGCTGTCAAAAATTGTGAGGTAGGCCTATGTTTTGTGAAGCTGGGATGGAGATTTTCACGTATGGTGTTTCCATTTGTAAGGTTTTATGGTGGGTGACAAAAATAGCATGTCACACGTGAAAGTGCATTTTATATAAAATATATATACTGCAAAACGTGACACTATTACAGATATGATTCTAAAATTATATTTACACAATACGTCAAATTTGCATAATGTTAATTCCAACAGAAATGCAATAATTATTATTGTTTTGCTTAAATAAAACTATTATTATTATTCTTTTATTATTATTATTAGTGCTTTCCATGTACTAGATGGGCTATGTGAATTGATTTCCGACAAAATGTCCTCTGTCTCCAGCCTCTTTCTGCCACGGCGTTTCTTTTCTTTTTGTGATTGTATTTTTACGGCGTATTAAATCAGACAGTCTTACGTATCGTAGGGGGTCTGTATTCTGCTGATAACGTTCCATCCCATTAACCCTTTCGTTAACTACGCAATCAGTGTTTTTTCGGCATTTTAGACTAGACCATTTTTTTGTCAGAGAATGAATGAACGTTAAACATTGCTAATATAATCTGCGAAATTAGTTTGGAAAGCGAATTACTTATTTAAAAATAAATGCGGTAAAAGCCGCACAGGACAGGCGGTGTTCAAAAAGCTTTTCCTGAAATGACCGGCGGTATTCTTTTGGTCGCTGTCCCCTGTGTGGTGCTGAACAGCGGTGCCGAATTCTGAAATGCTGGAATGCGCCCCCCCCCCCGCCCTCCTCGCCCACGCACCCTTTAAAAAACATTGCCAAGAGTAAATAGGAATCTCGGTATGCCCGTCTGTAATATCGGTGATAAACGACAAAGCAAGATAGTTGTGTAGATAGCTGGAAAGAAGACATGAAATAAACGCCAAATGACTGAAAATATGTGTACGCTAAACGTTTCTATTATTCCAACAACGTCATTTTATCATTCTATATAAAATATAGACTGTTCATTATTGATGAATAGTTGAAATCGCAGTTTGGGTGTGAAAAAACTTTGATAGTATGTCGTCAACTTAAAACTTAAAAATTCTAGTTCTTTCCTGCCGCGCTGGTTGTGTTAAAGACGTATTGCATATAACAATTGTGAAAATGATTGTGGGAAAAATATTTATCTAAATTGTTATCATCCTGGGCGTCGTTAGGTTCGATCACCGAGGGCTGTAGCCCCGAGTATTTTAGTCCGATGCCAATCTTCCTTCAAAGAAAACGTCAAGGTCCGGGTAACCTTGACTTAGCCCCTGATTTTTTTTTTCAATAACTATAGAAACGCCTCTGGTTCTCATGAAGTAGCCTATACGGTGACGTATCAGATGAAAATAAAATAGAATGTCCTCTTTACGATTGAATTAACGCATTATAGTGTACACTTGATTTTAACTTAAAAAAATCATATGGTGTCATCAATGATCATTTATATTGCCTTTTAAAGTTTAACAATAAAATAATGAAACACAAACACATTGCACAGTATTCCGAGGAATGCTCAAGAGAGAAAAAAAATCCGACTGCTTGGTTGGGTGACCTATTAATCGGGAGGCGCCAATGGGTGAGGGGCTCATTCTCAATTAGGACGGCATTGTACTGCCAGCCCGTCGGTTTTGTGCGAGCACGCGAGCGTGCTTCGAAATGTTGCGTCTGCGTTACGCAGTGGAATCGGAGACAAAGGATGTAACCGGTACAACGTGTACACAGAACATTTCCTTAAAGATAAACTGCAGCGTATATAACAAACAGTGATATATAACGAAATCATAGTTAATCGTCGGTCTGTGGTAATTACATGTCTCCAATAATCACAGAAATCGTTATAAATACAGCATTATGGTTAAAACTAAGGAACTATACAAAACAGGCTGTGCATTTTCTTGGGGAAAACTCTTTGAAAAAAAATACTGCGAATATGTAAAATATTTTCGTTATGGGCCTACATGAATACTAGCCTACCATATAAAATACAGCGCAAGCAAGACTGGCAATCCAGCAGGGAAATGTCGAAAATGCAAGACTGTATGTTTGCCTTACAAAATGTTCAGTCTTGTAAATATATATCCAAATCGATTTTCAAGGACTTCGGACTTACATCCTTTTTAGCAGCATAAATTTATACAACAGTTCTAAAACATCGTTTTAAGGAATAGGCCTAAGTAAAATAAAAAACGTGTCGTTTTAATGGGCATAAATGAGTCCGTGCATTTCTTGCGATATATTTAATTCTTATTTGCCTGTGAGGGGAAGTAAATAAAATGAGAAATTAAATTTACATCCAAAGATTAAAAAATACCCAGTCTACGAGTCTCTCCCACGGACAAATAGAAACACGGCGGCATAACGCGGCAGACAATTATTATGTGCAATAGTTTTTTTTTTTTACTTAACGTTTTATTTAAAAAAAAATATGCCGTTGAAAACAATGGCATCTATTTATTGGTGTGGAACAATTTTTATCTCCAACCTCTTCATATAGAACCAGATCATAAAATTATCTGTTTTGAGAAATTGAAACGGCCGTTTTCTAAGACAAAACTGATACGAGATGGAAAATAACTGCCTTCAACTAATATGGTCGTTGGAAAAATGCGCGTCTTCTTCGCCTAGTGAAACCAGACTTTAAAAAGCATTTTGAAAAGTGTCATGCAGACAATGGGAACAGGAACACCAGAATAAAGGACCGACTGTAGTGTCGGCATTAAAGTAAAATCAGTAAGTCAGCCCGTTTAGGGGATGGGTCAGTCAGCCTTTTCCGTCTCCATATATATAAGCAAAGTTATGCGCGATAGGAGCATCAGAATGTCATTGATTGGGTGCTGGAATAAATATATTGCAAATGACTATAGGGTGGAGAGGGTTGTAGTGACAGGAAGCGCCTCCCCCAGAAATGCAGCAAATCTCTCCTCTTTCCAGCGGTCCGGGGTGGCTGCGAGCGGGGGGCTGGAGACGTGCCTCGCAAAGTGGAGTCTTTGCATTGGCAGGCTGATGGTGACACGTGCCTTATCCTCGCCTCCCCCAGGCTCTACGCTACCGCATTGGCATCAGTGACGGCTGAGGGAAACCAACTGTGGGAGCGCTGCCGCTTACGACCATAAGGGAAAACCCAATAAACAAAAATACAACCGATATTAACAAAAAATAAGAAGAAAAGACCTGAAGGTGTCGCCCATTGCAATTACGCGCCATAATTGCTCCCTTTGAGTTGGTTCGTATAGTCTGACTTTGCCATTTATAATTTCTTTGTTTTCGTTTCCAGAGATATACTGTTGAAAACAAGATGCAAGAAGTGGGGGCACACATCTGAAGGTGACATGAAACAGGGGATTACCAAGAAAACGCACTATTTTCGCAATAGCTGGAGATAACAACTGAAAACTTCAATCCGAAAGGCTTTCGAAGACGTCGTGGTGTCATTCGCATGGTGTTACTCTGGATCCGATCTCCAGTTTCAAGAGAAAATTGTAATTAATTATTGAACGCATATATTTACAAAAAAATAATATATACATTTAAAGTCGGAACCATGGCGACGTTAATCCGAAGCAAGATTTCCAATAAGCTATCCAATGCGGCTAATACGGTGTCCAATAAGTCACAGGCTAAGGTGAGCGGGATGTTCGCCAGAATGGGCTTCCAGGCCGCCACCGACGAAGAGGCGCTGGGTTTCGCTGCCTGCGATGATTTGGATTATGACCACAGACAAGGACTGCAGATGGACATTCTCAAGACCGACGAGGTAGGAGGAGAGGGCGGTGGAGACCTGGGCGACGGCACCATCGAAGGGGACAGCCATTACCAGAGAGACGGCACTGGTCCCCCGCCTTCCTCTTCCAAAGACGGTGGGGTATGCGACGAGTTGGCCGGCCAAGACAAACCCAGAATCACAGCCTGGGAAGCAGGCTGGAACGTTACCAACGCGATTCAGGTAAAGACGCGCCACTGAATAGATTTCTGCGAACCAGCTCCAGCACTGTAAAATTTAGCCTGCATGAACTTTCATTATTTTATTTTTATTTTTTGACCAGCGATCCATTTCGCATTTGTTAGTAACTTTCAATACAAATTAACGTGAAAGTTTTAACTACATTAAATTGTAAATTGCATTTGAGAGCGACTAGCATGGTATCGTTTCTAAAAGCCAAGAATTTAAATATAGAGCTCAGGAGAGTAAAGAACACCGTTCATTGTATCCCCTTGAGAAGATTCTGTCTCGGGTCTTATCTTACAGTATGAAACCACTGCCTTCAATATTAATTTTATTTGGAAAATTTCGAGGTATGAATTTTCGATATTGAAATGCTACGAGTTGATTATCTATAAAAAAAGTATCTTGCGTTATGTTGTTCAGATAAAGAAAATAAGAACTGTTTTTCGTTTACTAAAGGCGAACGCAATCAATCCATTCCTGTATATTTTGAAAAAAAATTAGACACGACCGATAATTCATAACTGATTTTGCATTTGATTTTAATTATTTGTTAATTACAGTTAATTATTTAACTGTGGTAGAGATGACGACACACATTTATAATTTTGTTGATAAAATTAATTGAACGAAAAAGAAGTTTAAAAAAGGGAAAGTAATTACATAACTAGGTTTCTGAAACATAGCAGCAACTGTTTCACAACATAAATGGTGGAAATATCGAATAAAATAGATATTCCGTAAAATGCGTATTTGAACGTGACTCCCTTCGCAAGGTCATACATAAATTAGTGATTTGAATATCTTTAAGGGTACAGGAGCTGGAAAATGTGCATGCAACGAAATACTGGCATTAAGTTTATGAAATGCACATTCCAGCATTTCCAAGAGTTTTTTCCCTTGGCTGACAATATCATTCATGAAATGTTACGTTTCTCAGTCTTCGTTCTATCCTTCGTTCTCTACAACGGCGGTCACCGTTACGTCACGTCGAATCCCCCAGAACTTCAAATATGACGCAAAAAACACACCAGGCAAGCGGGCGGTGCTCTAAATTAAAAATGGAAATAAATAAATAAATAAATCCTATTTGAATCTAATATATAATATAATTTAAAAGATAAATTAATACGAGATAAATCAAACTGAAAAGCATTTTCAACAATTTTACTCTTTTTAATTCATTGAAAATTGTTGTGTACAAATTTTGCATTGATCTTGAAAATTAGTCTTATTTACGAGAAGTATGAGGTAAAAGGGAGATATTTCCAAAAATCATAGGAGCAATATCCTGGTTGGTATTGTTCTTTACGGTTCTAGTGAAATCCCAGTGTCGGGCTGACTTTGCGTCTGCATGTCGCTGTTTCTGTGTTCGTAGGGGATGTTCGTACTGGGGCTGCCCTATGCCATACTCCATGGTGGATACCTCGGATTGTTCCTCATCATATTCGCTGCAGTCGTCTGCTGTTACACTGGGAAAATCTTAATCGCCTGCCTGTACGAAGAGAATGAGGATGGAGAGCTGGTGCGTGTGAGGGACTCTTACGTGGACATCGCCAATGCTTGCTGTGCACCGAGGTTCCCCAGTCTAGGCGGCAGGGTGGTGAACGTGGCCCAGATAATTGAGCTGGTGATGACCTGCATCCTATACGTGGTGGTCAGTGGAAATCTCATGTACAACAGCTTCCCCAGCCTTCCCGTGTCGCAAAAATCCTGGGCCATCATCGCCACGGCCGCGCTCTTGCCGTGTGCCTTTCTCAAGAACCTTAAGGCTGTTTCCAAATTCAGCTTACTCTGCACACTGGCCCATTTCGTCATCAATATCCTTGTCATAGCTTATTGCCTATCCAGGGCCCGAGACTGGGCCTGGGATAAGGTCAAGTTCTACATCGACGTCAAGAAATTCCCCATCTCCATCGGGATCATTGTGTTCAGCTACACGTCACAGATCTTCCTGCCATCACTGGAGGGGAACATGCAGAAGCCCAGCGAGTTCCACTGCATGATGAACTGGACCCACATCGCAGCCTGCGTCCTCAAGGGCCTGTTTGCCCTCGTGGCTTACCTGACCTGGGCAGATGAAACCAAGGAGGTCATCACAGACAACCTGCCGTCAACTATACGGGCTGTGGTGAACCTTTTCCTGGTGGCAAAGGCACTGCTGTCGTACCCGCTGCCGTTCTTCGCCGCGGTGGAGGTCCTGGAGAAATCCCTCTTCCAGGATGGTGGGCGAGCAGTCTTCCCAGATTGCTATGGCGGCGATGGACGCCTGAAGGCCTGGGGTCTCTCGCTTCGGTGTGGCTTGGTGGTCTTCACGTTGCTCATGGCCATTTATGTTCCACACTTCGCGCTCCTGATGGGTCTCACCGGAAGCCTGACAGGAGCCGGCTTGTGCTTTCTGCTTCCCAGCCTCTTTCATCTGAAGCTTCTCTGGAGGAAGCTACTGTGGCACCAAGTCTTCTTCGATGTCGCTATATTTGTAATAGGGGGTATATGCAGCATTTCTGGCTTCATTCATTCAATGGAGGGCCTCATAGAGGCATACAAGTATAATATACATGATTAACAAGGACTGGTTGAAAACATCACTGAAAATAACGCTATCACAGGTTTGCGCCCCTCATGTGCTGAACCCCCACGGCAATTCACAAGTGGCACACGCAAATTCGCACACAAACATGCACAATACCTATAAAAAATGATTCTCCTTGAATTTTCTGTTGAGTAAAGGGTTTACAACTAAGGAATGCAAAATGTGAAACGTGCTTATGAAACTACACTTTGGAACAGGCATTGTTCATCTTTGCATCGTCATATTAGTTGTTATTTTCATGAAACATTCTACCTGATGCAGCACTGAACTGTGAAAGTTGAGAAAAAAATGATGTCACAAGTCACATGATGCTATATTATAATTAAATGGGCTTTGACATAGTGGTAACTTTCTGATCTTTAGACTCAAATAGAGATCAGATTTGTGTTAATATGATTTCCAAGTCATTTGGGTTTTTGTACTTCCCAAATCGAAATTAAGGCAATAAAATCAGACAGGCAAGATTATTCTATATTAATGCAAGTTACAGATGTATTTATAAAGAGGCTGAAGATTTGAGAAGGCCATCATATTTGTAAATAATAATTTTGAAAATTGTAAGGAAAATTACATAGATGGTTGTTGATCTTTTCTTCTAAAAAAGTTGCGATTGTCAAGCCCTTCAGACCAGAAATATAGAATAAATAAATTAGCCAAATGAGAGATAAAACTGAATTCATTGATTTTAGAATGTTACATAGCTCAATAGTGCAATCTGTCCTTCTGATAATTGTAACGAGGACCATAATCATTGCACGTTATTTTTATTAAGAGGAAATAATGTAGACAAACGTGAACTATGCATCTTCAATCTTCATGTATTTCAAACTAATCTGAAAAATATCCAGCAGGAAACCAATCAACACCCAGAATTTTACTTAGTGTAAAGTACTGGAAAAAACAGTAGTAAATTCTTTTGATTGTCAAACCTAAAAAAATGAATAAGTTTAATTTTTAAATAAGTATATAAACAATGAAGCAACTAACAAAAGAATATATGATGATATAATTAATACTAGACAATATGCATTCAATAGGCTATATTATTGAAGGATTATTGCACCCCTTTCGCCCCAGGTGGAAAAAGAAGAAATTTAAAACAGAGGAAGTATTTTAAAACATTTAATAACTTATGAGAACCTTAAGATAAAAGAATTTTATCATAAATTCATAAACTCGTCTATGAATACAATGTCCTATCCGACATATATTCTCGCACCAGTTCCGTATGCATTTTTCCAGTCAACAAGATGAACTTAAATATTTAATGTTCCGTAATTCAATTGTTTGGGTCATAAATTCTGAAGTTTAATTTTTAAAATGAAGAAATGAGGACATTTTTTCATTCTGTGCAATCCAACAGGTCCTGTGGAATTGTTATAAGCCGTATGTGTAGTGTTATTGTGGTTTCAAAAAGATGGAATGTATATCACAAAAATCGTAAACATATATTGTGAAAATAAATATATTGAAAAATAAACGTGAACTAATATTGTACTCACTGTGTTTTGTTTGTGTGACGACAACGGAATCGGTAAGAGATCTGTATTTTTCTTTTTTAAATAGAATAAAATCTGAAACATTATATGGAGAAGAAAGATTTATTTTTTTACGTGAGCAGGACCTTATTTCAAAAGTGTCATCGTCGTGGTGATAACGCAAACAGCGCAATGTGATCAACCATAAATGTCAACATTTCACAATACCAAATGTGGATGCGGAGTTATCTTCAGGCTTTCCAAGACAATTCAGGTAGGGTCGTGGTGTTTAAATACTCGAAAAACTGAGTATTTCTGTGTATTGAGATTGTATATAAAGACGGAATGGAGATAATCAAAGGGCAAACGTGGCACCAACCAGTAAATCCGTGTATATTTGTAATTAAACATCTAGCATAACTTTTGTGTTAACGTGTCCTTTATCAGCATCTTTCAGGCGGGGATTCTCTGCTCAATGGCAGCTTATTCATATGCCAGATAAGAAGGATTCCCTTCTGGAGCGCCGATTTAGATTTTATCAATTGTGAAATCATGAACGGATGAATGAGCAGTCCTGCTTGTACGAAATAAAGCATTCATATGGCCCGTTATTTTTATGCACCACATGCCATATTTTATTAGTCCAAAACCGTTGCACGACTAAAGTTAATTACGTCCCATTGAATATGGAACAATAAGCATCTCCTTTTATGAACAATCTACATTGAAATATTCAATAGGATTCTCTATCGAAGGTTGTTCAAAATGTGGATATATTAAATTCAAATACCTTATTTTTGAAGGAGCGCAGATATATATTATAGTATGTCTGTTTTACACTAAACAGTTCTTGAAAAACATTTGTGTATTTGGTTAGAGTCCCGTTCTGAAGTAAATAAGCAAACGCTCGGATGGAGGTATGGAGACACATGATTCCGAAATAGAGCGTTAAAATATCTTTTCTGTCTGCAGCTAAAAACGTTTGTAGTTCCAATGCACAAAAGAACAGACGACTCTTCCAGATTTTCAGGCCTGGTACCTGTTTCATATGGTAGGCCAATGACTTCTGCACATTCTGCGTCGACATCTGGACTGAAATGCGGACGAGCACAGTCATATAATAATGATAGAATGATTTATACTTTTATTAATCCCCGTGGGGAAATATGACCACCGGCAAAGTTTTTATTTCCTTAGAAAACTGTTACAAACGGCATGCTCGAGCATAAATCGCCTTAGAATCAAAATGGCCCAATGTTAAACAGTTATCACATTTTAACGCGTTTTATATGAATTAGTTGTATAAGCCTGTTTAGTATATGGAATGCTAAACACGCAATGCTATCGTAAAGGTTAAGATAAAAAATCGTTATATTTTTAAATAGTTATTTGGGCAAGATGCACACAAACATGATACATTTACTGGATTTTAATTGATTTTTATATTAAACAGATTCACTACATTTCGATTTGTAAGTAATAACGTTTTAAATCTAATTAGCATTTTCTTGCGCGGACATTTATTCCACCCACCCCGACTTGGATTGGAAATGAGAAAAAAACCACAAGATAGAATCGTGTTAATATTTTGAGTGAAAACTGTTGTAAACGTGGTATATTGCCAAATGCTTTCATGAGGAAATAAAACAATTTAAGAAGCGTAAATGTGTAATAAGGCCCTTATTATAAGGGTGTCAAAAACCAGGGAAATTAATGTAGCTTTTATATATTCTTAATAATATTCGTAATGTTATACATATAGTTATATAACCAAAGATGTGTGCGAATATATAAATAACGTTATGCAATCTTTTGTCATACAATCAAAATCAAAAATATTCAGCTGAGAAGAACACAAATCACCTGTAAAGAGGAGTTGATGTGTAGTGGAAAAGAGGGAGGGCACCGGGGGTAGGACGTCTCTGTTATCTTAATTAAGCTCCTCTCGGAAGATTCCAGGGAGCCAAGTCGTAACCAGCTGGGAGTGAGAAAACCATTTCGCGGCTTGATGGAGCTGTTGACGTGGCGTTGTTCGGCATTTGCTTCGTTTACATCATTTATACCAGTGTCTCCCAAACCAGTACTCGGGGACCTCCGGACGGTCCACGTTTTTGCTCTCCCCCAGTTCCCTAGGAGTGCGACTGGTTTGAGAAACTGATTCATACCACAGCGTTTAGGATACTGGATCAGTGATCATTATAAACAAATAAACAGATAGATAGATAGATAGATAGATAGATAGATAGATAGATAGATAGATAGATAGATAGCTTCACGTTGGGGTTTAAAAATTACTAAAACGTTTGTTGTGGCATAATGCTGTCCATTATGAGAAGAGAATATGTAATAAAATATATTACAGTAAGAAAGTTTTTTAATAATTAATGCTTTGAAAATGGCTAGGAAAAAGTTTAGATGTATCAATTAAAATCAAAGATTTGCTGGAAACGATAAATTGCAGAAGCATCTTAATCTCATAATCTTAATCTATAAAAGTTTTTGGCCCTTGTGCTGCTTCCTTAGGTAACCAAGATTCAAGATTATTTGCCCTTTCATCCGAGTGCTTTACTGAGGTAAAATCCCCTTTTGCCCCTAGATGGAGGTGTTACACAAGGTAACATATATTAGGCTACATTTAAACATGACACAATAACATGTGTTAGGTACCTTAAAAAGTTATGCTTAAAGAATATACCTAAAGCAGCATTTGGCCAGGCCAATCCCACCCATAAGGCTTCCTGTTGCATGTTAATGTCCAAATTCGTCACTTATTAGGGCCAAAGCTTTGCTGTCAACTTCGGTAGGAATCAAACCAACCCCTAACCCCGGCCCCCTTAAACACACCGTACTCCCAAAATACTGGCAGGGACACATCCCACCAACCACACACAAATCTACACCCTTGTTACTTTTGTCACCCAAAGAGATGTAGAAAAAGATCAGATATCAGATCTCAGCGGTGTTAAACCTTAATTAGATTAATAAATACAGTTCAAATACAACCTGCACACTGTTCAGAATTAACATATGAATGAAGCGAATAGGTTCGGCGAGACTTTAACAAACATTGACTAAGACCTTGTCAGGTCAACCATCAGAAAGTAATATGTCTGCTTGCATATTGATACGCCAAGGAAAAGGATAGGATGATTCAAGTAAGAAAGCTAAGTGCAAACAGAACAGCCTTTTGGCCACCAGAAATGACTTGTTTTTTCCTTAGAAAATTGAAAAAATATTCATATGCATTCATATAGCACCCGGCCATAGTAGGTCGTATACTTCATAAAAAGGATTCCACAAACAATACATATTCTTTGGAATTATAGGCTCCTTCCTATCTGGAAATTCCACACGCATGTGGTGAATATGTAAGTTTGTACATAATATTGTTATTAATTCTGCAATGTAGACAACAAGTGTAACTGCTAACTGACTTTGGATGGGGGATGTCATGTTTTTTCATTTTTTGAATTTAGAAACATGTCAAGCTATGAACATGGAAACACATTTAACAGAATGCAGAAATGGCTCCCCCACCCCCACCCCCAAATGTGTTGGGGTGCAGAAACACTTATGGTAAACAGGAGAGTGAATTACACAATTTTTATTAAAAAAAAAAAAAAAAAAACGGCATGGGCCCCCACCATGTGAAAAATTATCCACAAAGTGATTCTCAGCTGGTTCAAGTCTGAGTGACCAATGAACGTTGAATTTGACCAGTTGGTCTCTGAACGAGTGGAGACAAAGAGCATCCTGTTCTGCATTACTGAGGTAATATATTAAGTGGAACCATGAAATTTTATAGTGATGCATCAAAGTGTTTATTCTTATGTCCCCCAGATTGATGTGGTGGTGCAGTGGCTAGCAGTGGCGTTGCAGTGGCTAGCAGTGGCGGTGCAGTGGTTAGTACTGTTGTCTCATGTCTCCACCCTGACTTCCCATATGTGGAGTTTGCATGTGCTCTCTGTGGCATCCTGGGGTTTCCGCTGGGTGCTGTGATTCTCCCCACAGTCCAAAAACATACTATGGTGTGTGGAACTTAGTGAATTGTTTGTAGGTGTGACTGTGCCCTGCAATGGGTTGGTGCCCCATCCTGGGTTGTTCCCTGCCTTGTGCCCATAGACTGCAGAACCCCATGACACCGAATAGGACAAAGGGGGACAGAAAATGGATGGATGAGACAAGGTTTTCACTTTAATTTGTGCTTGTCTCCTACCTCTAGTAAAGCTGAGTTTAGACACGCTACCCTCAATAATCTGGTCCTGGTTACATTCTTGGTAAAAAAAAAAAAAAAAAACGTTTTTACATAGCAGCTGATTTTAAAAGTGTCTGGCAGCTTAAAAGGATTCCTTATAGCTAATGGCATGGGAAAAAGGTTGAGATTGGTGGGGACACAACATGGTACAACTATATGTTTACTGGGGGGATGAATGAAGCCAAATTAAATATTAGAGGAGTCACAACCTCCAGTTTCCACTCCCAGGCTTATAGCTAATTGATCAAGCTATTCAGAGATGAATTAAGAATATAAGGCAGAACCTCCGAAATGCGTCAAATATTTCTAGCTTGTGATGATGATGATGATAATGATGATGATGATGACGATGATGATAATGATGATCCATCTATCCATTTTCTGAAACCTCTTATTTCGTTCAGGGTTGCAGGGGGTCTGGACCCTATGGTTGCAAGGCAGGGAACAACCCAGGATGGGGCGCCAACAATGATGATGATGAGGAGGATGATGATGAGTTAAATATTAGTTCAGACTTCGACAAAAAAGAACAATACTTTCATTCCAAATGATGGCCAAAAGACAGAAAGCATTGCAGGTACCTTTCAGAGCACAGAATTATCAGCTGCATTCCTAGACAATGCCTTACACCGTGTATCAGCTCAGTGTCCTCACACAATTTTAAGGGTCCAGGAAGGTTGTGTGTTTTAAAAATACACTTAATAGAGCAGGTGGTTAAGCGATTAAGCGATGTCCGATTTATTTACTTATTGAAGAAGACGGTT